CGGAGGTGCCATGGTTTGGAGCATTGTGCTTTCCAAAAAGACTCCCCTGGGTGCTATGGGTTGAAAAAGATGCTTAGAGGGGGAGGTGGGGCAAAACCCATTCCCAGCCATTTGCTGGCTGATGCTTTTGGCTGGGGAACCACAGCACCCGCAGCTGATTCTGGGTGAGATTTGGGCACCGCCGCTTCCCCAGCCACTGCCGTGCCGTGGTCCAGCCTTTGTAAACAGCCCCAAGGTCCTCAGCGAGGTGTCACGGGAGGAAATAGCTGGATGCTGGGGAGTGCAGCGTCCTGACCTGCCCCTCACCCTTCTCGGTGACTAATCCACTCCCAATTTCCGCTCAGGAAGGCACGAGATGTGGTGGGAGGATGTGAGAGCAGCCGTCACTCCACTCCTGGCAGGTGCCATGGGGCTGCTTTGGGCTCTGGCCTCACCGCGCTACATCTGTCTGTGGCTCCATGCCACCGGGATTCCCCTCACCCTGCCTGCCTGTGCTTTACATTGGAGTCGAATGCCTGGCTGGGCTCCACTGGCCGTGCTGTGGGCTGGGGAAAGGGGCTGAGAGTGGCTTCAGCATGAGCTGTCGAAGCCAGTGATGCTGCAGCACTTGGGCATGGGAAGGGTTAGCGCAGGGATGCCCGCGGGGGGGATGCCCGGGGCAGGGAGATGGGGGGGCTGCAGACAGGTCAGTCTTGGATGGGGAATGGGACCAGCACAACCTCAGCCTCTGTGGTGGCACATCACACCCAGGGAGAGCTTTTCTGTGTCAGTGCTGGTCTATGGGGACTTCACATGAGCCCATCCCAGTGCCGTGCCACCCTTGGCAGATGCCCACTTTGTGCCATGGCCAGCCCAGTGACCACCACTGGCCCCACACAGGTCCCTTTGCTCTCCGTAGCTGTGGGCTGATTCAACCCGGTCCTGCACAGACACTACTTGTTTGCTTCCAGATGCGATGTCTAATGCGGAAGTGGGATCACTTCCGTCACCGCTCAGTACTGATAAACAGTCGTTTGGGGCTATCTTAATTACGAGAGCCTTAACGAGCTCCCTTGACCTGACTGGCAACCCAAAGGGTGATCAACAGCTGGGGCTCCCGCACTGTGGGCAGGCGTCTGCCCGTCGGGTTTGTCCAGATCGGCTCCGTTCCTGCCCGCCACGGAGGCCACGCGTGTGGGAGGGCACAGGGACATGGTGTGGGGATGTGGCATGCAGCCGGCGTGCCAGTGGGGACAGGCAGTGGCGAATCCTCCCCACTTCCTTTCTCATTGCAAAGGGGACTTGCCCATGGCACAGGGTGTTCGGTCCCGCTGTGACCACGGAGGCCACCAGGCTCCCTTCAAGAGCAAACCCCCCTCAAACTCCAGTCTTGGGAGGGCTCGTGGGGTACCCCAGACCCCACAGACGTCGTTTGGGGAAGAACGCTCATACATCTGGAGCGCCACACCCCAGGTTCGCTGGAGAAGGTGATGGATGCTCTCTGTTTGGGGAAACTGAGGCAGAAGCAGCAGATAAGGTTTGCCTCACAAGAAGCCAAGGGTTAAATACGGCAATTAACCACCCTCTCAGCTCCCTCCTGCCCCCAGCTGCATGCAGGGAACATGTCCTGGGGGAAGAAAGCAGAGCAGCTGGGGGCTTCCCAGCCCTGCCATAGCCCTTGGCCCCCCCTGGCTGATGCATCCTGGCTGCAGCGCAGAGCCGAGGGTCTCTGTGCTAGGCCAGCCTGGATTTCAGGCTCCTGCTGCCTACACGGCAGCGGCGGGCAGCCCCGGAGGAGGCGTGCAGAGGACATGGCTCTGCTGCAGGATGAACTGCAGCGTTTCACTTCAAGGCTCGCAGCTCTTCCAGATCCCTCTGCCTGCTCTGCCGCCTCCGCCGGCAGCCACCTGGGGATGGGAACGGGAAGAGGATGCACTCATCCCAGATCCGTCTCTTTCAGCATCGTTCCCACCGCTGAAGGTACATGTCTCAAGGTGGAGCCAGAAATAGCGCGGCTCTGCGCTGCATCGGGGCTGGCAGGGCTGCAGGGTTTGGCAGGGGGACAGGCACCAACTGCAGCAGAGGGAACTTTCCAGCCAGTGCCTGCAGGAGTGGATGATGGGGAGACAGAGCCGTTTTGGGGCAGACCCAGCCCAGGGAGTACAGTTTCACTCTCTCAGCCCCCCGCTGCAGGGGCTCGCAGGGAGCAGGCACCCTGCAGCTCCCCGGGGAGATGTTGGTGCTGACGCAGGGGACCCACATGGAGCAGGAGGGGACAGAAATAACAGAGGTGCGCAAGCTGGGACACAGGTTTTGGGTCTGTCACCAATTTGCTGCAGGACTCTGGCGAGTGACTACACCCTTGGTCTCTGCCTCCGTGACCTGTGGGCAGCAAGTATCACTCACAACTCCGGCTTCAGATGGGGGCTCACCCCAGGAGGTTTCTCAGCCTCTGAGGAGGTTACGGCAGCTCCTAAATCACAGCCAGGCTCTGCAAGCCACCATGGGCTGCTGCCCGGCCCTGAGCCTTGGCTGGGCTCTCAGCGGCCACCAGCACAGCCCAGGACCACAGGGCTCGGCCGGAAAGCCCTGGGCGACACAGGCAAGCTGAGCTCATTCCTCCCAGATGATGATTTACTCAGAAATATTTCTGAGGTCAGTCCTCCTCGGGGGAAACACTCCCAAACGCCCCACGAAAAGCTGCTGAGTCTGGAGTAACCACAGGCACCGCTCGCTCAGCCAAAAAGTCACCCCGATGACTAGCCCTGGCGTCAGAGGGATTGAGGCTGAAGTGCTGCCGTTTGATCTCCCCCTTTGCTGGGGGAAGCCAAATTTCAGGCCATCGCAGGGTTTTCACCACTTCCCGGTAGCGGTTTCCTGCCATGATATGAGCGCAGGCATTTTTGGGAGGTGAGTCAGAGGCTGCAATGAGAACCACCTGGCAGGGCTGCGCTGGCTGGGCTGGGAGGCTCCATCCCCATCCCCATCCCAATCCCGGAACGAGCCGGGATCCCCGCCATGATGCTCAGCACCTGCAGGCAGCATCCCTGGGGCAGAATTCCTTGTGGGGACACAGCCTCCCACCACAGCCTGCCATTTCTGGCTGGGGTAAGAGGAATTGGGATTTGCTGCTGCTGTTCCCATGGCTCCTCTTCCCCAAACGGGCTGGGATCGGCGTGCTCCGGCCACCCCACCCGGGCTTCAGGAAGAAACTCGGTAGAGGAGAAAGGGCCAAACTTCATCCAGCTCTGCAGGAAGCTGCCTGCAACGGCTGTCCCGCCCCGGCGCCGTGTCGGCCCCATGCAATAAAACCGCCCCAAAGCCCCCCGGCGTGTGCCGGGAAGCACCGAGGCTCTGATTTGCTCCAAGCAGAGATGTAGGTCTTGGCAGAGCTGAGAAACTGCCTGCCTCGGTCATTGAAATTCAACAAATAAAGACAGTTCCTGGTAAAGGAACCTCCCAGGTTTTCCCTGCTGGGCTTTACCATTTTTTGCTGTTAAAAATACACGACCCTCTGCTCCCCCACCAACACAACTCAAACCCCTCTGCTCGGCAAATAACTGCATCGCAGCCAGCGAGTGAGACTGAGCCCAGACCAGCCTTTTCAAAGGAGCTAAACCTGCTTAAAGCCGGCACTGTTCCCTGACCCGCCCTCCTAATCCTGCCCGGCTGATAATGAAATAATAAAGGGCTGCAAAGACTTGCGCTCCCTGCGCTGTGGGGGAGGTTTCTGCTGCCTCTGTACATGCCAGGCGCTGGGACATTAATTACTCCCTAAGTAAACAGAATTGCTTCTTTCTTCTCCTTTGCCTGGCTGTAAAAGCAGGTGTGACCCTCAGCCCGCAGAGCGGAGGAACTGGACAGAGTCACTCCCTTTTCCAGGAGAAAGGTTGGTTGGTGCAGTGATACAGCAGCGATCTCTGCCCGCTGCCCTGCCCGGGCTACCGGGGCACTGACCCCAACACCCCAGCTCCACCAGCCACCCCGGTGGGACCCACGGGGCCGTCCCCCCGAGGCTGCTGGGCCTCTCCCCGCAGGGATGAAGCTGGGGACACCAGGGGCCGGGGGGAAATCTCAGAAACACAAGAGGTGTTGTCAAGCCCCTCGGAGGTGGCTGCGCGCAGGGGTGCTGCCGCCGCCTGCCGCACCGGTGGCTGCCCTGCAGCAGAACACACGAACTCGTTGCATCTCAGCCCCCAGCAGCTGGGAAAGCGAGGGGCGGTGACAACATAGGCAGGATCCATCCCCTATGGCCAGGATGGCTCTGAGCACCTTGCAGGGCAGCAGGAACAAGGACTGTAGCATGGTGCTGGGGGACCTGGAGGGCAAAGCAGAGGCTGAGGGCAATCAAAAGGGCCACAGCCCCAGGCTGGTGTGCAAAGGCTGCAGGGTGGGAAGGGGTTAAAAAGCCCCGTTTTCTCCGGCACACCTGAATTGCATGGCCAGTCAGGAGGGAAGGGCTTTAAAAGAGGGGTGCAGGAGCAGGCCCCCTTCCCCAGGAGCCTGGGAAGGAGCTGGTGGGAGGCTGAGCCCCCTGTGGAGGTGCTGAGCCATGGCCCCCACAATGCTGGGGCTCCCTCCCTGCATTTGGGGCCTGTGTTCCCCCCGCTTTGCTCTCCCCTTCCTGGGTGCTGCTCTAGGGTTTGTTCCTGTGGCTGCCCTTGACCGGGTGTCCCTGCAGGAGCCTGTCCCTGCTGTCCCTGTCTCTTGGGGTGTCCCTGCTCTCTCGGGGCTGCCATTTCTCTGGTGGGTGCAGGAAGGGCCTTGGGAAGCAGCCAACTTCCTACATCCCAAAAATAGCCTGCCCCCCCCGCCAGTGTCGTCTTTTTGAAGGACAAAGCCAGCAACTTGTGACAAGTGAATGGCTGCAGCATGGATGCTGTGACCACTGTCAAATGAAGGTGTCTTGCAGGGCAGCAGCAGCTGTCGCTAAATACGCACCGGCACACGTGGCTGAGGGGGAGCCTGGCCTGGGGTTTGGGGTGCCCAGGGGGTGGGGGAATCTGGGCTGCCCAGCGAATGGCTGCTGCTGGTTCGTCCCAAGTTGCAGCGTTATCGCCAGCCTGAAGGCTGGATTAGCATTGCACGCCCGTCTGCGCTGCCTTCTCCAAGTGAATCCAGGCAGCTGATGCTGTTAGCTCCCGCCTCGCCTTGCGCTGCCATTTGGGAACAAGTGGGGATGTGGGAGTCCAGCTGGAATAGCCCCTGCTGTGACAAAGCACAAGGTGAAAGACCTGCAAGGGACAGAGGGGACCTCTGTTGCACCAGCAACCCAGCAGGGATCACACACAGCTTTGGTGGCAGAGAGGTGTCTGGTGCCGTGCTGGATCTGTCCCTGCAGCAAGCAAAGGGGGTGACGGCTATGCCACCACTCCCCTCGCCCTGCCAGGCTCTGCCAGGTGGATCCTGACCTCGTCTGGCTGCAGCATGTGACCCTGCAGCCCATTTCGCTGTGCCCGTGGCTGGCCCAGGCAGGGCTATGGCTGTGATGGGGGATCTGCATGGAGCCCTGTGGCTTGGTCCTGCTGTGGGAGCAAATCCAGGTGGCTGCCAAGGTGAAAGGGGGACTCTCCTGGCTTGTACACCAGGTAAGTAACTGCGGGGCTGGTCTTTAGTGACCGTGGAGGGAGGTGTAGGGATGGAACCACACCCCAGGAGTGAATATATGTTGTCAGGCATGGTGAAGGGAGACAAAACTTTCCATCCTGGCGCTCGGGCAGTGCGACAGTGGCACACAGAGGGAATACCGATGCATTTGTATCTTGTTTGCGTTGAGGATGCTGCATCTTAACCAAGGCTGGAGAGAGACAATCTTTAATGAAGTGTTTGGTGGAAGGGGACTGACAGCGATGCTGCAGCTCTCAGCCAAACGTGAAATGTTTCTGACAAGAGCCATCGCCAGAGGCACCACCACCGTCACGTACCCAACCCCGAGCGGCTGGCACGCACCAGAGCAGCCTGGCAGCAGGGAGAGATGCTACTGAGTAACGGAGGCATACATCCTCTGTGTCCTGAGCAAAGCCCGCTGCGACCTCCCTGCTCTTACCTGGGAGAAAACAAGCCAAGGGATGGTGACCTTGTGCAGCAGCTTAAAAAACTGCTGGGAAAAACCTCTCCCTCCAGCGTGAATGAGGCGATGCAGAGCAATCCTGGTGATGAATTTAATGCCGTTTGCCTTCCCTGTGACACAAAGCACACTCTTTGGGTTTGGAGAGGTCAGCGTGGAGAGCTCTGCCAGATGGGTCAGAGCAGTTTTCTGCTTAGAGAAGTCATTTAGTGCCTGCACCCAAGAGGGACTTTGTCCTCACAACCAAGGAGCTTGGAGAGCCTGACTGTGAGTGTTCCCTTGGAAAACGATGCAGGGACCGGGTTTAGCTCCAGCAGCGCCTCCTCAGGACCACCATCACGGCGCTGGGGTGCGTAGGGGAGCCCCAGGCCCAGAGTGCGGCCTGGTCCCTATGGGGCTGGCAGAACCCCTCCTGAACATAGTGGGGTTCCAGAAGGGTTCAGGCTTAAGCCCTATGGGGCAGGAGCTTCAGGCCTGAATCTCGTGGGGCGGTGAGGGCTGTGGGGTGTGGGGGTCCCCGCCCGCCCCACAGCCCTCACCACCCCACCGGGTTCGGGCCTCAGGCCTCCCGCCCGC